TCTCCCATTAAAGAAAGAAGAATCGGAAGTGTAAGTAAGTGGTTGCTATAAATTAAAGGCAATGCCACTAATTAAGTCAGATCGAAACTACACACCCATTCAGGACTTGAACCACACATTACCAAGTACCAACAACAGCAGCACAAGATAAAATACACACACACACGCACACGCACACACACACACACACATACATACATACAACATGATTTAAGAAACAGAACATTAAGAGAAAGAAACATAAAATCGCTTCTTCGGCTCCAATTGAAGGATGCACAAACTCAAAGACATATTTTCCCACCCACACGCGTACACATATCTGAAAGAGCTAAATTTAACCAGACGAATTATTCATTTTGATTCGAAAATTCTCACTGAAAACTCAGAAAGAGAGAGAGAGAGAGAGAGAGAGCGACAAAGAGCGAGAAATCGACATCCAAACTAGGACCTATTCGACTAGACATATGATCGAATCTCATAAAATTCGAACTGAAACTTAAAAAGACAAAGAGAGAACAATCTCAAGTTCAACAGACTCGGAAGAACAAACGAGGAGAGAGAGTGCCAAAATGCAGAGCAAAACAAGGCGAGAAGAGGAATTCTATGCATAAAGAAGTAAAAGTCGAAACCAGAAGACATCCAATGCCGTAAAACAATCAGATACTTGCGTCGGTTCTTCGATATTCAAAACCGCCAAAAAGACGAATATATAAATGAAAAAAAGAACAAAAAAAAAGTGCTTCGGAAAGCAGTAATGCGTTGAAGAAAACATGTAGAAACATTCGGACTTACCGAATTCTTTTTCCCAGCTTCGAACTTCGTAAGATCGAAGAAGAAACTTCAAATGCTGGTAGCCTCGTGTTCCGCCATTTCCGATCAGTTACGCACAGAATCGTCTTTCATATAAACCATATACATATAGGAGCTCACAAAAAACACGCACATTCTCTCTCTCTCTCTCTCTCTCTCTCTCTCTCTCTCCTCACACCTGTCTCTGACTAGAAAGCCACTTTCTCTAGCAGTAGTGAATAGTGATGAACGGTTTCTCTCTCTACAGAGTTTTTTTTTTTTTTTTTGGAATTGGAAATTCCGCAATAGGAATTAGGAAGTCACTGTGAATTTGATCGAGTGCGGACAGATCTATTTTAAAAAAACAAGTGGCTTTATGAGCTGTACGTACGCAGGTTCTGACCGGTGAAGGGTGTCGGTGGAGTACAATGACGGGACTTCCCGGTTACGCTACGCGCTATTATTATTAGACCAAATTATAATAACACCCCATTAATTTGTAATAATGTTTACTCTAAACAATGCCCTCATTATTTTTAACTAGTGAGCAAGGCTGCATGTGTACTCGATTGTAGAGGATAGACAAAGACATGGGAGTGAAAGAAAACCTAGATAATGGTCATAGAGGATTGAATGTTATTGCGAGTTTAAGTCAAATCTTTGAAGCTCATTTTTTTAAATATGCCTAAAAATTTATTCGAGCTCTATACGAGTCGAATCTGAGTTGAGGTCGAGTAACTTTGACTCGATTATCAACTCTACCTATTCTGTTTATCAGTAGTAATTTTTGATATTATATTGCATTTCATTTGAATTTATATTTCGTAATTTTTCCCTCCATCCATCAAAGATGAGATGTATTATCTAAAAATTGTCGACTTTCACTGCTTTTAAGTTTTGACCATTAATGTAACCAATTTCAAAAAAAAAAAAAGCAATGGTATCAAATTTTTGGTATGGGGCCAAGATTGGGTGGGTCTACTTAAATTTTAAAAACTGAGGGGTATCTCTTGGAATTATAAAATACATGTAAGACGTATTTTGCAATCTGTATTTTGACCCTACGTACAAAAGTGAGTAATGACCTAAACCAACATCATTCTCCTCATCAATCTTTTTGGAGAGAAGCTTTGATTACACTTAATTTGTTATCTCTGCCACGTAGGTTCATTTATAGCTTTGTCCATTTTAATTGAATTCATGATAAATAATTATTATACCAAATTAATTATCGAGAATTAGACATAACATAAAAAAATAATTTTTGTGCACCAAAATTGTGTATCAAATCATTATCAGCCATTGAATAATAGTGGGTTCCACTAACTTAATCGTTGATAATGATTTAGTACACATAACATTGCTAGTTATACAATAAGCAAGGTTTTTAATATCAAAAATATTGATGGTAAGTATAATATATATATTGGTTCAATCTTTCACCCCAAATTTATATGCCAAAAGCTATATGATGGGGTTTTCATCCAAATCAACGATTTTATGTCATTTTAATTAGACCTATAGTTTTTGATGCAGGCATTTTGTTATATGAATATGCCCTCCACTGAAAGAAATATGAACAACACAAGACTAAAAATCGTTAAAATTCATGACCTTGCTATATGTGGAGACTATATAAAAATTGAATTGCAAATATCAATGACTAATATGATACAATAGAAAGATTGGAAACCCAAAATGATAGATATTGCATACATCGGAGACCACAAGTGTAATTAAATTAACTCTATAATTTTTTAATGACCAGAATATGAATTTTGTAAATATATTTATTAATTTATAATTTTCTAAATTCTTTTATTAAATTACAATATTTTTTAAAAAAAGTGGAGTCGTTGTATATGAAGTCCATAATTTGGACTTAAAATCGGGGATGTTGACCCAAGTGTAATCAAAATGAAATAGCGTCAGCCGTCCGCTTCTCCCCAAGGACCACCCGCACCGACGACGACTTCCTCTATTAGAAGACACGATTGATTGGGACATGAACTTCTGTCACAATCTCACCACCACAAGAATCTGCCCTTTTTTGTTGCCTTTTCACTTGGAAGCAAAAAGAGCGTCCAAAACCATGTTGTCACAAATACTACAGTGGAAAGAGTAAAAGGATAAACTTGTGTTTCCTAAATAGCCCAAAATGTTTGATATCAGGTACACATATTCTACCAAACCTGGGCGGAGATAAATTCAGTCAAAAGGTTATCGCCTCGTCTAGATAGATGGCAAAGAAGTCTTGGTGAGACAAGAAAATATTTAGTGAATCGATGGTTGAAGCCGACCAAAAAACTCCGATTTTTAAGTTAAAAGACGAGACAAAAAAAAATATAGAGCCTATGCGGAGATAAATTCACGCAAAGGGTTATCATCTCGTATAAATGGAGAGAATGGCAAAGAAGTCTTGGTGAACCTACAAGACAAGAAAATACTTAGTGAATCGATGATCGGGGACGGCCAAAGGAACTCCGATGTTTAAGTCAGTAAGCAAGTCAAAAAAAAATAGAGAGTAAATAGGTTAGAACTGAATATCTTACCTAATACCTGGAGTCTTTATTTATAGTAGTAAGGAGATGAATCCCAATTAAACCCAAACTTTAGGATAATTGGCTCAATCTCGTCACCAGATCCTATAAACATGGGGGTAGAGTTAGACTTGAACTCTTGGTCCTCGGTCCTTATCGCTAGCCCCTCATTGATCGGAATTGCATTTCATTAGGACTCTTAACTGCTTTGTGCCATATTCTTAGCTCTTAAATATTTGGAGTGGTATTTAATTACTACTCGAGGTCTTAAGTTGCACCTTAACAGGACCCGTCTTTAATTGTCTTGTGTACCAAGGGTGAACGAGGGAGGTCTTGCCCAAGTATCTTACTAGTTAGAAGTAGCTTAACTTTTACCAGCTGAATGGTGTAGGCGAGCCTAGACTGGGTGGCAAAAGCGAGCCATTTTTTGCCAAGTGGCAAGGACAAACCCCTTTTGTCAAGTGGCAATGGCCAAGTGAACATGTCGAATGAATTGAAGAAGTCTCCCTGCCTTTGCTTAGTGTACCTTTTTATCGACTGGCATGAAGGAGCCACTTTTGCTTTTGGATCGAGGACTTTGCGAGTGGTGAGGAGTTCCACTTTTGTCAAGTGGCGTGAAGTAAGCCCCTTTGCTGAGTGGCAGTAGGAGAGCCACTTTATTTCTCACAAAACCTATAGTATTTCGTTCTCTTTACCTTAAACGTCGACTGACTTAAGTATCGAAAAATATAGGCCAGACACATTTTCGACCTCTTTCTAACCTTGTTCTTTTTTTACAGGAATTTCATCTCTTATCCAATGAGATATAATTATCTCAAACTATTGCGCATGAATCAACCTATGCAATTTAGATGCACCGGATACGCCTTTGGCCCCCTTCTGGCCTTGTTTCTTGTTTACAGAAATCTCATCTTTGTTCAACTAAGTGCCACTATCTCCAACTATTGAGTAGATTCAACTCTTGCAATAATAATCACTCTCATAATACCTTCTTGGTACAAGTTTGAATGGTTCTTGGAGAGTAACTATACAATTTAAAATTTACAAGTCAAAAATACTTATAATTTGGATGATACTAAATGAAGAAATAAAAGAAACTAAAAATTTAAGTTTATGGTTAAGGGTTAACTCTAGTTAGGCCTCGATAATGTGTACCTTAAGGTTGTAGGTTTGTATCCCATTGAATCAAATCTACAATATTGGTGAATAATTGAATACATTTTAAATTAGGGAGGCTGCAGCCACATAAAAGTGGGCGGTAGTGAACCTTGCTATTAATTCAATCCCTCACCTCATCTCACAACTTAAAAAAACTAATGTAATGAATTTAAGGGATAGCTACACTCAGATTTTTTGAAGTTTATCACTTAATCACTCAGACCTCCTTATATTTAAAATATTACACATAAATCTCTGAGATTTGTACACGAGTAATACTTAGACCTCTGTCGTCAATATCCGCTAGTATATCCGTTAGCCTAAAATTTGTAAGTACATAATAGTTAGACCGCTCAAGTTTAAAATGTTATACTTAAATAAAAAATATTTCAATTAAAGATAAAATATCGAATATTTTAAATTTACAACCAAAATTTATATTCTATTATGACATTTTTGAAATAAAATTAAAAATAAAAATATATTTTTGTCATAAAAAATCATAATTACTATATAATTATACGTACTATCTATTGGAATTTAATTTGATCATTTAAGCGACCAAATTAAATTACAAGATTACCCCAATTACAATTAGAATATATTGTTTTTCATTATAGTTTGATCCCTTACTTGATTTTTTTAGTTTTATTCCAATAGATAGTATAATTGTACACTAAATACGATTTTTTTAAGAAAAAAATAATTTTTGATTTTATTTCAATAAATGAAATAATTAATAGAATATGATTTTTTTTGGTAAAATTCATGTTCTATTATGAATGACTTAGATCTCTTGTTTGATTTTTTAATTTTATTTCAATAGATAATATAATTGTTTACTAATTACAATTTTTTAAAAAAAAATTGAATTTTTATTTTTGATTTTATTTCAATAAGTGATACAATAAAATATGAATTTTGGTTGTAAAATTTAATATATTTGATATTCTATCTTTAATTTGAGTATTTTTGTCTAAATATAACATTTTAAATTTGAGGGATTTAAGTATTATATACCTACAAACTTCAGAATATATGATGTAATTTACTAACAGATATATTAACGAACATTTGACAACAATGGTCTAAGTGTTACGTCCGTACAAATCTCAGTGGGTCTGTGTGTAATATTTTAAATCTCAGAAGGTCTAGGTGATTAAGTGACAAATCTCAAGAAGTTTAGGTGTAATTCTCCCTAAATGTAAAGATTGCTCATTTTTTAGCCCAATCAATGATACTATTGAAATTTGTCAACGGATCAGGTATGAACCAGATTATCCTATATTTGAATTTAAATTCGATTAATTTTTTGATGATCTGATTAAATCCGATTATCCAACGGAGTTGAAAATTTCAATTCATGTGCAAATCCATTAATTTTTGGATACCCAATCCTAAAATTCAATCCGATCTAATTATCATAAAAAAACACATGTACGTTGAAAAATTAACAATAAGAATTTGGATAATGAACTAAAAAAAGAAGAAAAATTAAAATTTGAAGTGAAAGCAGGAAGGAAAACTGGACAATAGACGAAAATGGGTCTCACCTTGTGATTTCATTTCATTTTTACTTATTTTTTAGTATAAGTCTAATATGTATGTGTGATATTTATTTACATAATATATTTTTTTTATTTGGATCAGATTAATGATGAGCCGAATTATTATAAAACTAATCTGTTTAGATAACTCTAATCAGTTTCGGATCAGATCAAATTAATAGAATGACAATTTGATCCATATTCGCTTAAACGAATTTGGATCAAATTCATGTTGCAATTCGGTCCATTGACAGGTATAATTCTACTTAAAAAAATTACCTCTATAATTTTTATGTTCTCTAAACCAATATATTTTGGCCCAACTCATTACACAATTCAAATATTTTTGTTCAAAAAATTTGCACACAATCAACAACATTTTCATATACAATGAAGTTTGAGGAAAATAAGAAGCAAAAAAGTTGTATTCTAGTATTTCTCGAGAGAAAGTGCAGGATACTAAAATTTATATTTTTTTACAGTAAAATTATATCTGTAAAACGAGAATTTACAATTACTACAGAGAAGGTCATGATCGATCACAGATACCCATGATCGACCATGAATTTCCCTTGATGAGTTTTAACTTCTCCTTTATAAATTATAATTTAACCTTAAAAGTTATAACTTTCAGAATCGATTATAACATTTCATGATTTATCATACCTTTTACAAATTATAATTTATCCTTTAAAAAATATTATTAAATAACTTTAAAAAATTATAATTTTCGATATTCTACTATGGACGGTACCATAGCTTGCCCACTTCTCGAATTCTAATTTGGTCAAAAAGTAGGAAAAACATATCAAACACATAAATCACAAGTACAAGCATCCAAATTTTTATATGCTTATATATGGTGACAGAAACCACAAGAATCCGATGCATTGTCAAGATGTATGGGAGGCTGAATGGGAAGTTGTGGATATGATTCATGATGTCTGCAAAATTGGGTTCCATTCATGGCCAAATGAATTATTTATACTATTCCCTTTCTTTTCTTCATTAATTATTATAATATATTATTGAAGCACTTGTACTGTAACATCATTCATTAGCATTGTCCTACCTTCGATCAGCAAACCCAACAACTCCTATTTTCATCCCTTTGTCCACCTAACTTGGGACAAATTGTAAGTTGCATGTAAATCTTGTGAAACAATGATTAAAATCATGATGATTAGTGACAATGATAGGTAATATTAACCGGTCAGTAAGAGGAGAAGATAGCTCAAGATAATTTTAGGGTTAGGTCATGAGAGATTTATCCCCCGTGAATTCTCTAGTCCCGACTTGAATAACTTGCATTTAACCAAATTAAAAAGAAAATTAATCGAGATGCGCATAAATTAGTTCGGACATCAATGACCATTGAACCCAAAAAAAAAATGTTATTTAAATCATAGTTGGGGAATTTATTTAGGAATATAAAAAAATATATATATGAAGAAATCAAGTATGGAAGAATCCAAGGTTAATCACACTCTTTTCTTCAAAGGGAAACAAACATATAGATGTAAATTTAAACGGAAAGCACAAGATAAATTAGACTTAATCAATTAATTAGACAAGAAAGTGCTTTGGTTCAAAGTGATGCCAGAATGATTACAAAGCACCGAGAGAATCATAGGCATCTAGTGATCACGTTGAAAAACCTTTTAAAAACCCCAATAATTACATATATTACCTTTATTGCCACCCTACGGAATTCCATTTTTTCCCACTCTATAAATGCACCCTCACCAATTAACTACAAGTTCGTGAAAGTAGAGCTTATGATTTGCCAGTAAGTTGAGGAATATTGCTATTAAAATCTAAAAAAATGACGTAATTTGTTAATTTAATGATGTGACAATGATATGGTCAAATAGTAATGTTGTGACTATAACAATTGAACTTTTTCATTGGACTCGATCATTAGCTGTTAGAAATATAAATCAAAAAGATAAAGTAAAAAGCAGGATGAAGAGCAGACTAAATCGCCCTCCTAAGACGATTTGCGCCCATTTATTGAAGAAACATAATGCAGAAGGTAACAACGCGTCACCTTCAGAATATAACAGACCAACCTAATTGATTGTTATTTCACTCAGATTTGCACAATGAAATGAAACAGAAGTTTGACATGACACCTTTCCATATATTGCCCACAAAATAATCGAACTTGAACAATTTTTTAAATGAGTCGAACTTGAACAATTTTTTAAGCTCGTTTATATATAAAATAGTCAAATTACTAGGGTTCAATTCGGGTTTGACTCGTTTTAGGTTCAGCTTAGGCTCGGGTTTTTTTTAAATGAATCGAGTTTGAACAACAAATCTAAAAGATTCAATTCGTTTATATGGAAATAATCAAGTTAGTCAAGTTCGATTCGCTTCAGGCTTGTTTTGGACTTAATTTGGTTTCTACTTCAATGCATCAATTGTACTAAAAGTGAGATCTACCTCTTATTAGAACTCACAACTAATTCAGTGATTACATTAAATTAGGACTTTATAACATTGTTCATTATAATTTAAGCACGTCAAGCTATAATTTAATGGGGTCAAAATTAGAGTTATTCTCAAAATAAAGTTGTAATTGATCCCAATAATAAAAGTCAATCTTGAATTGTAACTTTGAAATATTTGAATTTGTGATTCAATCTAATTAAATTTCAATTTTTGAATTTTTCAAAAACATTACAACTATGACCTTTTTCTAATTATTTTACGAACTTTAAGGTGAAAGTTAAAGTTAGGACGACTTAATCTATTTCCTAGTATATTTTATTAATTAATTGGAACAAATTCAATAATATTTTTGTGGCGTTAGAAACATATCCATGTTCATCTACACTCATTAGCCACTAGAAGCTGTCGAGAGTGGGTCCAGATGAAGATATACGAATGGAAATTGTACTGAATGATT